TATTTTTCTTTCAGCTTTAAACTTTCCAGATCACAGGCATGCCACATAAATCTTACCCAGCATGCCCGACTTTACCTACGTCAGTTCCAGCAGAAGGTTGCAATCCCAAAGGCTTTCTGGCAAATAACCTATGGCAAATGATTGTAACATATAGATTCCAATCTGGCAAACTTGAATATGTTCATGTTATTATACTAACTCTCATTTACAAGCTATCTGTCATGCAGGCAAAACTACAGAGTATATAGCAACACTGTCTCTTGGCATTTGCAAAGATGGGAATTCCTAAGAAAATAAAAGTTGAAGAGCCAGGGAGATAGCTCAGTGGAATAAGTGCTTGACTGACAAGTACAAGGTCCTGAGTTTGATCCCTGGTACCACCAAAATAAAAATAAAATAAAATAAAATAAAGTGGATAATGGCCTTGCCAGGGCCAGCCAGATAGCTTAGAGGACTAAAGCACCTGCTTAGGCAGAGCGCAGTGGCCAAGGTTTGATCCCTAGCATGTTGTGTCAGCCCCACCCCTGGGGTGCGCTGAGACGGTGATTGAGACTGGGCATGGTGGCATGTGCCAGTAATCCCAGTGCTTGGGAGGCTGAAAACAGGAGGATCACTACAAGTCTGATCTACGTAGTAAAACCCTATAGACCCTGTACTAAATACATTAAAATTTTTGTTGATAATGCCCTTGCCTATATATAGGCAGGAGCTTTCAAAGATTTTTGCATGTTAGTCATTCTACTGGAATTCCTTATAACCCACATGGACAAGCTATTGTTGAGCATGCATATTTGCCACTAAAATGGCAATTACAAAATCAAAAAGGGGGAATCAATTGTAGTAAGTCATAAGCTTGCCTTGATTTTGCACTTCAATTTCCTGTTGGTAACTACCCTGGTAGAATTACATTGGTTGTAAGTACAAGAACATGAAAAAAGAGAGAAGCCATAAATGCTATGGTGGTCCTCCAGTGACAGGAAGATGAAGGGACCAGTTACTCTGCTGGCATGGAGGTGGGGGTTTGCATGTGTTGCGTGAAATGGACAAACTGTGTGGATACCCTTTAGGAGCATACAACCATAGAGAAGTCCTCCTCATGACACATCCATGGAAGAACCTGACTGCTCTCACCAGTGAAAGCCTTCCCTTAGACAACTGAAGAAAAAATATTCAGGAAGCAGACTTTTCATCCTTAGCACCCGAGGATGCTTGGCATCTATTGAGGACCTTTTGAATAGACCCTCTGGAAGGATCCTTTGCTGGTCACTATGCTAATCTTCAGGTGGAAGAAATGAGAGCAGTTGTTGCCTGTTACCTACCTGCTTACATCAGCTAGAAGCACCTCTCCAGAGGGGGACAGTTATAACATAGGCAGTGAGATAGGGCTAGGGCCTTGAAAAGAGCCAGTATAGACACAATTGTGGATGGAGATAGTCATTAAAGGAAAGAAAGATGGAATAATCATTGCCTACATGCTTCCTCTAGGGATAAACAAGCAGTGGTCGATATTCAACTGCTCTTATTGTAAAACAAAAAGGGAGACTACATGGGAAGATTAAGGCCTAAATGGTTTCTGTGAGCACTAGGGAGAAAAGCAGCCGGAGTGCATGTCTATACCCTTCAGGGAAAATTCAGCTTAGATACAGGTTACTGATATGTACCATGGATAGTGGGAAATGAAACCTGTTTTACTGATTGCTTGTGCCGGTCTCTGAGTGAATAAAAGCAGAGTGTACCAGTCACTTGGGGCTTTTTGTTGAAGGGAGACAAGAGCCCCCAGGCCTCCACATTTTAACCTAATTCTGTTTGTGTTTCACCCTTGTCATCCCTTAGTCAAGCGTAAATTTGCCTATAGGCTGGCTCTTACAAAATACACACCTGACAACATAGCTGATAAATTACAGGGTATTCAGACAATGCAATATTATGCAAGAAAAAGTATTGCTATATGCAACAAAATGACCCACAGGTGGAATAGTAAAATATGTTTGGCACAAAAGGTATAAAGTCTAAAAGTCTATTGATATAAAGCTTAAACTTACTTTCTGGATTTGAAAAGATAGTGATTACTTGTTACTGGCAGTACAGGTTGAGCATAAAGCTCAGCAGTAGAGGGCTTGCCAAGCACGCTTAAGGGACTAGGTTCAAATCTCCCTTACTGAAAAATAAAATGCCACAAGAGGTTACACTGGAAATCTCTGGGGGTTTGGAAATGTTTGGGGTTGGTTATATGTGGTTACTTTGTGTTATTTCAGAATTGTATTTTTTTCTGTTCATACATCAACAAAGTGTGCTTTAAAACTTAAAAAACTTTTGATGACATAGAAAATAAACTGGTCAGGGCCAGCAAGATAGCTCAGCGGACAAAGTATCTGCTTTAGCCAAGTGCAGGGGCCAGGGTTCAATCCCCAGTCCCACATGTGACACTGGCTCCGACCCTGGGAAGCGCTGAGTGGGCACAGAGTCCCCACACGTTGGCGCATGCCTGTAATCCAGCAGTGGGGAGGCTGAGAACAGGAGGATCACGACATGTCTGATCTGCATAGTGAAACCCAGTACCAAAAACACAAATGAAAAAAAACAAAAACAAAAAACTGGTCTACATGTGGGAGCAGCTGCAAATATATGAAAGTAACTGTGATGCAGTCAATAATTTCCTTTCTATCCACTAGTTCCACTTGATTTCAAGTACTAGTTAAAAAAACAAAAACCAAGAGCATTGCAGAACCCTTTCTAGACTAGAGTTTATCAATGGCATTTTCTTCTTAAATATTTTGTTAAAATGTCTTTCATGCCTAGGAATTTTCACCACATAGAAACAAATTTTTGGCATTTATTGTAAAACTAAGCAGATAATAGTTTCAATGAAAAAAATCCTGACAAAGATGCATAGCACTCAGTGGGACAGTGCCTGTCTGGTAAGTGTGAGGTCATCAGTTTAATTCCTAGCTCCCGACACCCACCCCCACAGTCCCCGCAAAAACATTTTGTTGAAAAAAGCTCTGGAGGGGCCGGGGAGATGGCTCAGTGGAATAAATGCTTCCCTGGCAAGTGCATAGGCCTGAGTTCAATCCCTGGTTCCGAAAAAAAAAAAAAAAAAAAGCTCTGGAATCTGTATTTTAAAGCAGTAATAAAGACATTTAAAAGGTAGTGATCGCCAGGCATGATGGAGCATGCTCATAATCCCAGCACTCAGAAGGCTGGCTGCGGCAGGAGAATCACTGCAGGTTTGCAGCTACAGAGTTCAAGGCTAACCTGAAACACATAGCAATAGTCTCAAAAGCTGGATGGGGGGGTGAGGGGGTGGGGATCATTGTTATAGTTTGTGTCTGGTTGTCCCCCCAAAGCCTCATGCATTCATGGGGCAGAGACTTCCAGAGTTTGAGATGAACTCATAATCGACTGGGATTATGAATGATCCAAGGCTGGGATTATGGGTGTGAGTACTTGCCCCAGCCTGGGGCGACAGCCTGAATGCAATTTAAGGGAGAAAGACTTCCTCTCTGTTGCCATTGTTGTTGTTCCGCCGCCATGAACTGGATGCTCTTGCCCTGTGCCACTTTGTCTTGGAGCCGGCCGGGTATAGATTGAAACCTCCAGTAACTGTGAGCTGAATAAACCTTTCCTTTCTTCATTTTGTGTGTTGGGTATTTGTCCAAGCAATGAGAGAACAGTAACTGAGATAATCATTTTTCCCCTAATTATGTGAAATGAACATTAATGAAAAGATTATATCTTTATGAGTACTCTAAAACACACAACCTGAGGAGCAATATGCCAGGCACAGTGGTACATATCTGCAATTCCAGCACTCAGGAAGCTCAGAAGGAGGACTGCCATGAATTCAGGGCCAGCCTGAACTACATAAGGAGACTCTCTCTCTCATAAATAAACAAGGAACTAGTAAGAGGGGTTCTCATCTGCTTAGTGTAGCCATGTGTTAGTACATTTACCAAGCTTTTAAAATAGCTTCTTCCCACTAAAACTACAGTCTTTTGTCATCATCTACTGGCAATACTGGGATTAGATTCATACTAATGGGATTAGACACATACTTACGGAATAAAACAATCAAGACAAACTCTCTAAGAAAACTGTTAGGAATGAACATCATGTAATTGTCTCTTAGATCAAAATCCTCATAATCCTATTAAATGAAAGATTTCAAATGACTAGCAAATCTTATTAGCTGACAAATGCACAGCTGTAAGAAAATGCAACAAATTATTGGAACCTGAGTGCAGAGAATAAATATTTTATTAACTGATTACAGGTCAGTCACAAACAAAAAGAGTATATTAAGGCAGAGCCATATATATATATATATATGTATGTGGGTATGTGTGTACACACACACACACAAATCCAAAACTGTAACCTCTTTACATCTTCATAACCTCTGCAATATTTTTTTGCACATGTAGGTGGTGACTTTCTTTCCTTCTCAGTTTAAGAAACGTCTTGGCCAATAATTCAAAATCATCTTTTGAAGATAACTTATAGAACCTCTGATTGAGACAATGACCATGAATCAATTACTGTTTTCTCAGCATCTCCCATGTATAGTGTTACATTTACGTTGTGCAAAATCTAACAATTGATAACTTTCATTTTTTCAGCAAATAACACACGCAAAATTATAAAATTATTTTAATAACCTTAACAAGGTTTGGACTTCCAAGTTAGTCAAATGCCCAAACTCTGCATTTTCTGTCCTTTCCAAAGCCCTCCGATATGGTTTAAATAGCCTTTATAGCATACGATTACATGGTTGTATTTTAGGTCTATAAATTTTGAGATTTCCAAAATCCAAAATTATTTATGCAAAATGGCACTGCAAACAGCAATTCTACGTAACGTAGAATGGTTCTTCCTGTGTATAGCTTCTTTTATAAAAACGGGCAGCCACCAAAACCAAAAAGACATGTTTAGTCCATCTGTACAAAGCACCCCAGATCCCTAATTCCACTTCTGAAGGAAAAAGCAGAGGCAAGTTTACATTATCCCAGAAGGTTGAAAAAAATGGCTTTATTTGATATTTTCAAGAGGCTTCACCTTCTGTAGGAGATGTAGGTGTCGTAGGAGAAACTGAAACTGGTTTTCGTGTAATTCTGTCTAGTTCTGCATGGACATCTGATATAACAGGCTTCTGGCCTATGTTGAAGAAGAAAAAATAAGATTAAGATATAGTCAAAACATGCTTTTCAACAATGTCTATCTATTTAAAATTACCAAAACTCAGGACTGCAATTGTGAGGTCATTCTGAGCAACTCAGCAGAACTCTGTCCACAAATAAAACACTAATTTTAAAAAGGGACAGGATATAGCTCAATTGAGACTGGATTCAATCACCAGTACTGCCAAAATAAAAAATAAAAGAAACAAATAATCTACAGCACTCTCATTAGCTTTATCTAGCATACTAACTTATATATTCTTTTTTTTTAATTTTATTTTTATTTATTTGTGTGTGTGTGTGTGTGTGTGTGTGTATGGCCAGCTCAGCCCACCAGGGGGGGGGGCTGGCTGGCATGTGGTGCTGGGGGATTGAACTGTGGTCTCTGTGCTTTGCTAAGCTTGTTCTAAGTAGGTGCCTTAGACCACTGAGCCATCTCACCAGCCCCCATATAAATACTCTTAATTTAAAAATTAATTCTGGGGCTGGGGAGGTGGCTCAGTGGAATAAGCACTTCCCTGGCAAGTGCAAGGGTCTGAGTTCAATTCCCGGTTCTGCCAAAAAAAAACCCCAAAAACCCAAAAATTAATTCCAAGGACTGGGGCGATAGATTGGTGGCATAAGCACCTGTCTAGCAAGCGCAAGGTCTCAAGTTTGATCCCTGGTACCACATGCCCTGCCAGTCCCGGAACTGGATGTGATGGTGCATGCCTGTAATCCCAGCACCAGGGAGGCTGACACAGGAGGATCACTATAAGTCTGAACTACATAGACTTTTGAGACCCTGTATCAAAAAACCAACCAACCAACCAACCAACCAACCAACCAACCAAAAACCCACGTTATTTTAAATTGAAGGTCAATGGAAGTAAAACTAGTACCTATCATTTAATCTCATGAAAATTTTTGTTTTGTCTTTAAGGTACAAAGAAAATATAAACTATAAAACAAAACAGATCTGGAATGTGGAAAGATGAATGAGTGGTAACAGTAAATAAATACCAAATGTTGGAGAGAATATGAGAAAATGGAACCTTGGTAAGAATGTGAAACGGTACAGAGTTTTTTATTTTTGGTACAGAGTTTTGAAAAACCATTTTTGTAGCTCTTCAAAAACCTAAAAACAAGGGCTGGGGAGATAGCTAAATAGAATAAGTGCTTGCCTGGCAAGTGCAAGGCCTGAGTTCAATCCCCAGTTCTGAAAAAAAAAAAAAAAAAACACCAAAAAACCAAAAACAAAAAACTTAAAAACAAGCTGGGCATGGTGGTGCATGCCTCTAATCCCAGCACCACTTAGAAGGCTGAGGCAGGATGTTAGTTTCAAGTTCAAGACCAGTATGAGCTGCAAAATGAGCTCAAGGCCAGCCTGAACTGCATAGTGAGGCCCTATCTCAAAACAAAAACAAAACAGCCCCCAAACCAAAATAAAAACCTTAAAAGTTACTATGCAACTGGCAAGTCTACCCGAAGTGTTTACCTAAGAGAACTACAACCTTAATGTCATGTGAAAATGAATCTTCACAGCTACATTATAATGGGAAAAAACGGAAATAACCCAAGTGGTCACCAACTAATAAAGAGGCAAATAAAATGAGGCTTATCTACACAACATAATAGTATGCAACAATATTATAAACTGAAATTCAGTACTGACGGATGGTACAGCAGGGACGAACCAAAGAAATTATGTTAAACTAGACATATACTGACATGAAACATCTAGATAAGCAAATCCATAAAGACAAAACAGACAGGAGACCCAGTCCTAGCCCAGGCCCGGTGAGTGTGTGGGAGAGCTTCCTGCTACCCTGCGCCAGTGGGACCTACCGGTCCCAGCCCAGGCGCAGTGTGGGTGAGACCCTCTTCCACCCCCTTGGGACGCACCCCACCACTCTGCAGCACCTCGCCTACCCTGCCCACTGAGTAGGAATTTCTGCTGCGTTCCGGGAACCCCCAGACCCAGTCCTAGTCCAGGCCCGATGAGTGTGTGGGAGAGCTTCCAGCTACCCTACGCTGGTGGGACCTACTGGTCGCAGCCCAGGTGCAGCGTGGGTGAGACCCTCTTCCACCTCCTTGGGACGCCCCACATGACTCCACAGTACCCCCCTAAAACCCGCCCGTCGAGTAGAAATTTCTGCCGTGTTCCGGGAACCCCCAGATCCAGTCTTAGCCCAGGCCCAGTGAGTGTGTGGGAGAGCTGCCTCTCGCCCATACTCCACATTGTCCCCTCCAGACTCAGCTCAGGCCTGGCATACAGGCCCGGGTGAAACCCTGCAGGTGCAATCCCTGCAGAGAGTGTAGGGGACAGAACCACCCAGCTAGTCCAAGAGCACAACATCTTGCCAGAAGGGCACAACAGGTTCACCCTCAAGGGCAGCAACAGGAAAGAGCTGAGCACTGCAGCCAGACCCAAGCCAAGTACAGCTGGATAAATCCAAACTTTGTAGATCTGCACCTGAACTTCAGGAGGTGCTAAGGTTATAAGTGCAACAAAGATCTATAATAAAGGTCAGAAGATAGTGCTACACAAAATGACGAGAAGGAACAAAATGCAATCTCAGAACCCAAACCCACCCATAACAAGTGCAGAGGACACTAACACAGACAAATTGGGAATCACACAGCTGAAAGCAAAGAATCAGCGGCTTCTGAAATAAGGAAACAGCTGCAGAAAGGTATAGAGGAACTCAGATTGGAAATAAAAAAGTAATCCCTGAATTAATAACACCTGCAGTAAAGAATCAAATGCAGAAACATATGGAGGATACCCAATGCCCACCCAGAACAAGTGCAGAGGACACTAGCTCGGCTCAAATGTATGAATTAATAGCATCAATAGTAAATAAGAAACAGCAGAAAGTCACAGAGGATATCAGAGTGGAATTCTTTTCTACTAGCTCAGCTCAAATGTACGAATTAATAGCGTAGATAGTAAATAAACAACAGCAGAAAGTTATACAGGAACTTAGAGTGCAATTCTTTTCTGAAATAAAAAAAGAATTCTCAGAACTCATAGCATCTGAGGTAAAGAATCAACTACAGAAACATAGGGAGGAAACCCAATCTGAAAAAAAAAACTGTAGTAAAAGAATTTATAACTGCTTCTAAAGAAGATATTGATTAAAAAATAGAGATTAGAAAAATGTCGGATTCCTTGAATGAGCAACAGAGGAAAGAAATAGATCGCATGAAGCACAGTCAAAGAGATATAGAGGAAATTAAAATCTCAATCACAAGCTTGCAAAACCATTTAAGTGAAAGTGAAGACAGAGTTTCAGATCTTGAAGATGCTGGTGCAACTAGTGAAAAGGTAAGAAAGGATCTCTTAAAAACAACTAGGATGCAGGAAAGAATAATCCATCACCTGCAAGATGATGCAAAGATGAACAATGTGAGAATAATAGGCATCAATGAGAAAGAAGGAGTCAATACAAATGACATTAAAAAAATATGGGCAGAAGTAATAGCAGAAAACTTCCCAAATATGAGGAAACAACTTGACATTCAGGTAACCGAAGCATACAGAACGCCAAGTAACCTTAACCCAATGAAAAACACACCGAGACATAAAACTGTCAAGATCTCAGAAATTCAGCACAAGAATAATATACTGAAAGCCGCTAGAGAAAAGAAGCATATCACATTCAAAGGAAAACCCTGCAGAATTACTGCTGACTTCTCTTCACAAACCATGAAGGCAAGAAGAGCATGGAGCAGAGTACTTCAAGTCCTTTATGAAAACAAATTCCAGCCCATACTACTATACCCTGCAAAACTCTCTTTCAAGTTTGATGGAGAACTGAAATACTTTCATGACAAAGAGCAGCTAAAGAATTTCATGATAAAAAAACCAACCCTACACAGGCTACTGAAAGATGTTCTAGAGAGGGATCAAAACGATCAGAGCTCCATGAATGAGATCAGAAGCAACCAACTAAATAGGGCAAGCAATTAATCACAGGCGAAAAAGGAGTAAACGACAACAGGTAAATAACATGGCAACCGTAAGTCAATACATCTCAATTCTAACTATCAATGTATTGATTTTGTTTTTTTGTTTGTTTTTGGAGGAACTGGGGATTGAACTCAGGCACTTGTGCTTGCCAGGCAAGTGCTTATTCTACTGAGCTGTCTCCCCGGCCCCTAACCATCAATGTAAATGGACTCAATTCACCAATTAAGAGAAACAGACTGGCACAGTGGATTAGGAAACAAAATCCAACAATATGCTGTATAAAAAAACCACATTTAACTCATAAAGACATTCATAGGCTGAAAGTCAAAGGATGGAACACGATACTACATGCCCCAGCACCTCAGAAAAAAGCAGGGGTAGCAATCCTATTCTCAGACAGTCTCAACTTTAAAACAACAATGATCGAGTGAAATAAAGAAGGCCACTATATACTGATTAGGGGAAAAATTCAAGAGGAAGAGGTAACACTCATAAATATGTATGCACCAAACACGGAAGCACCCAACTGTATAAAGCAAATCTTAATTGACATGAAAAATCTAATATCTAATACCACAATCTTAACAGGAGACCTTAATACCCCCTTAGTCCCAAAAGATAGATTAACCAGATAAAAACTTAGCAAAGAAATAACAGAACTGAACAAGAGCTTGAAACAAATGGACTTTGTGGACATATACAGAGTGTTCCACCCAAACACAGCTGAATACACATTTTTCTCAGCTGCACATGGCTCATTTTCTAAAATAGA